TTTCCTTCCGTGTCTTACTTTTTCAACTGCTTTTCAAATGCTAACCCTTTTTTTCAGAAAAGTATCATGTTTTTTCAGATGTTAAGCCTTTTTCTTCAGAAAAGTATCATGCTTTTTCAGATGCTAAGCTTTTTTTTTCAGAAAGTATAATGTTTTTTCAGATGCTAAGCATTTTTTTTCCAGAAAAGTATAATGTTTTTTCAGATGCTAAGCCCCTTTTTTTCCAGAAAAGTATTATGTTTTTCAGATGCTAAGCCTTTTTTTTCCAGAAAATTATCATGTTTTTCAGATGCTAAGCCTTTTTTCTCAGAAAATTATCATGTTTTTATATATTGCTGTTAATAATAACACAGTAATTGTTGATTTCTCTAATTTTAAGACAAGTGGAACAATTGTTTTTAATAACAACTTTCTAAAAGGTAATCGATCTCTTAAAGACAGGAAAGACGTGAAGTTGCATTTTAATTTGGAAATCATTAAATGAAGAGATTACGTCCATATTTAAATTGTATTACCGAAGTATTATTTCATCCCTTGAATGTTTAATTCTGGATGCTAACTTGATTTTCATATACAGCATTCTTGCAACCTTGTCCTTAATTTCAATGAGCATAAACATTATAATATTCAGAGGAATAAAAATCAGAAAAGACGAGTACTAATAGTTTAAAAATCACCTGTTACACGATACTTATACTAAAAACAATGCGAGAGTATTAGGAGCTATAATAGTAAAATAAACTAACAGCTTATACATGACGTTTCTACAAAGTTGCTGAATAGTTGTGCATTATAATGCATGACGTTGTCAGTTTTACCAACGCACATCTATTTAGCAACGTTGTAGAAACGTTAGTTAGTTGAATCGTCACCAAAAATATTACGACCTATCTAAACGATACATTTTGTTCAGAAAACATGTTTAAGGGGTTTAAAAGTTTAGTTTACACAAGAGAAATAAGACTGTAAAATGAAAATTAGGTTCAAAAGTTTAGTTTACCCAAGAAATTCCCAGTGTGCTCACTGTTTGTTTGTTATGAATATCGCGCAAAGCTACACGAGGGCTATCTGCGCTAACCGTCCCTAATTTAGGTGCGTAAGACTAGAGGGAAAACGGCTAGTCATCGACACTCACCGCCAACTCTTGGGCTACTCTTTTACCAACGAATAGTGGTATTGGCCGTCACATTAAAACGCCCCCACGGCTGAAAGGGCGAGCATGTTTGGTGTGACGGGGATTCGAACCCGCGACCACCCGGCCATGCCGGGCCTGTGTGTTCACTGAGTTTCCATCTCAAAATTTTGAATGGTTTGCATTGTAAAACGGAACAATAAAAATGAACTCAAATTGCTGCAAATTTTAACTTATATTATTTTATTGTTAAAATAAGGCTGATTATTTTTGGTTGTTGCTAAACACGAAGCTACACGATGGGCTATCTGTGCTGTGCCCACCGCGAGTATCAAAACCCGATTTTTAACATAATAAGCCCTCAGACTTACCGCTGATTAATTATGTAAGAGAATTAGAATTTTGTTTAAAACACTAATTTTAAAATATCTTTTGAAAACTTACACACAGAGTATGGGTTAATTACTAGGTCATTAATCATTTGTCAAAAACAATGTCGAGTTCCTCTATAATTGAATAAGACAAAAACACAAAATTTGAAATACATTTAGCTCATTCCCCCAGGAAAAAAGAATACTTATTAAATAATAATTGTCGTTTCACATCTTACACGTCTCGTTATCTACTTTTCAGGACCATTTAAATAAATAAATCATAAGGTTGAAAACGTACAGTTTCAGGTTCCTGAATCATCTATGACACTAATAATTACAATATTTGGTATTTCAGTGTATCCTTTTTGGCCATTCAAAGCAAATGCAGCCTATTTCGTAAAAAGTATCTTTTATAACGCCACACTAGTTAGCTATAAGTATTTTATTGAGACTGTGAAATACAAACAGCTATTTTATGTAAAACTTAAAATAGCATTTATTCATTTTTATTTTTATCAAAATTTATTTTAAAGAAGAAAAATATCATCGATTCAGAGAAACAGAGAAAAATAACTGTCACATGTTTTCATCGTGACTTGGTAGAGTTGTTAGAAGCGTGAGGTCATTACACGTTCTCTTTATATATATATTCCTAAATATCTATGATTTGAATTTTTCACGGTTATAAAAAATCTTGTAAAATTATCTTGTATAGGTTTTGTTGCTATCAAAATAATCTTCCTCTAACAAAAAAACAACAACGTTACACCAGAAATTTATGTTAACTTGCTTCAGCAAAGATACTGTGAAAGAAAACCGGGCATCTGAAATGTTTTCAATTTATAGCACGTTTAATGATACCAATATCAATACTGTCAGTCTTAATGTTACGTTCTGGATGTGGTAACATTAGATGCGTTTTTCTTGAATATTTTTAATGACCAAAAATTCCAATAGTATCTAGCTTCAACACAAATGGTAAATTGTAATTTGTCGTCTAAATATTGAGACTGAAGTAGTAAAACAATCATTAATAAGATGCTATGTTCAATTATTTTGACATATTTCATCACGTAATAGAGTAGGATAACAATGAAGTTTCATAATAACATTAATAACTAGTACAGAAGTGTTAACAATGAAACACAGAAGGTTGAATACGTGACATCCATAGTTGATATAAAGTCGTGGTGGAACGGAATGTATCATAACTACATTGTTTGGTGTGACGTACGTAGTGTGACGTCACCGAAAATTCAAATCTTTGGGGAAGTATATGTAAAAGCTCTTCCGATGCAGAGATATCATGCATTCAGATCATAAAGATGTTTTCAAATTAGATATTCAGAATTTCCAAGATGGGGATATCCGTATTACTTAATGGCATTGGAAAACAAAAGAATTTGAATCAACCTGGGGCATCAGAAAAAGACCTGCAACAAGTCGTACCCCAGATGTGGTAAAAAAAGTATGGCGTTTAAAATACTAGAGAATAAATATTAAGCCCAATCTCTCATTTGCCTCTGAGTTATACCAGTTTTGGGTAATTCCACCACTCATCAGTAATCTTGAACAAGGACAAATCGAAATATAATGTTAAACTTCATATAGTGGTAGAGTGTATACGTAAGGCAGTTTGAGATGTCTTTTACTCACGCAGTGATCTTACATAAATACTTCAAACAGCTTGTCTGTTGAATAACTGACAAGAAATATTAGTAGCATCAATGCTGTATGTTCTTGAAATTTCTGGTTAAGTATAAGATTACTGCGTGTGTAAGAGATAGGGGTATTGTCAGGATGCAAGGTCGTCAGATAGAGCATGACTGGATGCAATGAGGTGAACTGTAACGACACGATAAAGTACCTCTGTAAGTATAAACAACAACAAGAACAACAAACTGTTCCATTTCTTTTCGTAACAGTCACGCTATTAAAGTACAATGTTAGTATGGAAAGTTTTTACTACTTTCGAGCTACATAAGTATTCACTGTGTCAGCTGGTATTAAAGCTAGCATAATATTGCGGATTCCTACTAAGCTAAGATTAAATTATACAGTGCTAATTCAATTACATTTGAAAACACTAAAAATATAATCAAAATTGACGTTAGGTAAGAATGAAAATTATTTAATATTTTCAGTTGTCTTTGCAGTCAGTTGTCATACAGAAACCTGTTACATTAGCAAAATTACACCTGTAAAATCAT